GAAAAGTGAGCTTCGCATAGTGTTTCCCAGGAGATCGTCATTGCAATCTCCCATACTGGAGAAATGTTTTCTCCCTCTTCGGGGATGGCACTGAGAAGGGTTTCTTCCGAGCAGTGGCATACATCGAAGGTGTCTTTACAGGTAGACTACCGTAGGTAGATGTGTTATGATAGAATGTAGATGCAGAAACCCAAGCACTTCTGCACGCGCAGTGCTTGTTGAAGGGAGAACACGCTAAGTGAGGATTCAACGGACCTTGAGCGGATAGAGGGAGGGTGTTGCACTGATTACACAGTCTGCTCAACAAAGGCCTTCATAGCAAGAGAAAAAAATCGAACCCGGACAAAATACGCATTTGTGAAGCATCGCTGTACACGCGTAACGTTAAAAGTTAGAAATAACGACCAATCTGTCCAGTAGACGGTGAAAAACTTCTGTCGATTTGGAAAAGTATTGCTTGACAAAAAAAATGACATTCCAGATTTTCGGTACACTGCCGGCGTTCGATAAATGCGGTAGGAACCTGATTGCATGGGTCACTATTCGTTTTCGGACATATCAGGGGCAATGACAATTCTAGAAATGAGGAACCAATGGGATGGAAGTACAGTCGTCCTCTTGTGGTGGCACGATTTCGAGACAAGTGCGTGCTTGTGGGCACGCAAGCACCTGGGCAGCAGCGTCCGGTACACAGCTGTTTCGCGCTTCGATCGTACCGATGACCATGGGAACATGCCACAGTTTGCGGACAAAATAAAAGTTCAGCCAAATGTCATTTTGCCGAAATGATTACACATAGCTACTCTGTTTAGAGTGAATCATCATCTTAAGCCGCCATTTTTACATGTCTTTGGCGTTTTTTCGATGACCTTGGGCAAAACGCAGTGCGTTATGGCGGCGAACATCCACAGACCGGTTTTTAAGACAATTAGCTGCAAAGTTAGAGCCCCCAACTGTTGAGGTAGGACGACATCCACAGGAAAGATCCCCGAAAGTGAGAACACACAGGTGCCGTCGGGAAATCAGACCAGTCGGACACAAGTAACATAACCGTAAGCGTCCACAAACGATTCTAAGAACAGGGGATTCTACCACCAAGGTGCGTCATGACATAAGATACGCTTAGTGTCAAGAGCATTTCGTACATCGATCTACGATCGTGTTGCTCCTATTTGTGAAACACAAGAAATGAAGTCGGAAAATCACCATTCCTTAAACTGAAAAAAATCGCACACTTTGCAGCGGAAACCCTGGATAACGATGCTTTATCAAGAAACTTGTAAAATGGGGGACATTTTTTGGTCCTACAACAAAATGAAGTACAGTGAAGTGAGTTGGCACGATCGACTGAAACAGGGTTTGAAACTGCTTTGTTAATCACTAGGGCTGAAAACAAGCACGAAACGTCACCCCGTATGGACACCTGATAAGGCTGGCAAGCCCAAGAGGGGCTACCGTGCAATCAATACGGTTGGGGTCGGGAATTCGTTCTGAAGTTGATTTGATTGACGCGGCATTACGAGACGCAAACACAAGAAATCGTCCCACCAAGCGACCACAGAACAGCGATGGGCAAAATTCAGGGATTTTTTTATACGTCATTCAATCCCCGGGGCACATCACAAACAACGGAACTTTGTTTGTGTGCAAGAGGATTCTTCCAAGCCAATCTGTTAACAAAACAAACACTGCATGGATGCGCACTCAGACATGCCTCCATATTTGGTAGACAAATTGGAGAGACTATTCAGTTATTATTGACGAATGATGTTTTCGTGTTCGCCCCATGTTCGCTAAACAGTATTTCGTCAACGAAAAGAATGCGCCAAACGTACTCACACCGATGGTGCGATTTTTGAGGCACGGATTTCGTCATTCCAATTTCTGTTCGAGGGAACAAACTCCTCGCAACCTCACAAGAGAAGAAGGGAATCTGAGCCCCCCCAAGGGAAATATCGCCATGTTCCTTGGCAGTATCACGTGCTATTGTATCTCAATCCGTTTTGGGAAACGCAGAACGGTTCACTAAGAGTAGGCTCCATCTGTGAGTTATCTGTTTTTCAATAGCGAGCTAACTCCATTCAAAATGTCACCACAATTCAATGGTACCATTTTAAGGGGAACAAACTGAAACGGATGAAATGTGGGCGAATACTAAAAATAGCCGGAAGTTTTCCATCCTGAGAATTGTTTAAGCACACAGGTCCCTAAGAACGTCTCGAATTGGAAACAACCTTCCACATCATCATCAGCACTTCCTACAAAGGCCCATACTTTCGCCAAATACCCTGATTTGCACACCTATTTGGTCTTAGCGAGGGAATCGGTAGAATCTCAGCCCGACCCCTCGTTTAAGGTATTCCCCAACTAAGAGTGCCGCACAAATGCTGCCTCATGTTTCAGTTGGTAGGGCATTCGAGAAGGAAACTACCCACAACGTTGCTGAAAGTGAAGCATGAGGCAGCACGCTCAGTTGCCTAAGAACATCATAAACGAGAGATTCAGCTGGGTTCCAGGCGAGTCCGTCGTCGAAACCAAGTTGGTATGCGAATGAGTGTACTTCGCTAATTTCGTGCAATTTGGGTTCAAGTAGAGCATAAGCTTGACGGGAATCTGGGGACCGCTCCTACCGGATGAGCCCGAATTGGAAGGTCGGAATCGGTCTTAGGCTGTTGAAGAACTTTCAGCAACTTTATGAGTAGTGTGTTACGCCGATAGATTGGTTGGATGAAATTTCTACTGGAATTTCAAAGCTCTACCTAACAGATACAGGTTAAAGCCAGGAGTGAGAACTGTTTTCGTTGAATAATACACTCGTCTGCATATCGATTTGGTTTTGAAGGCAGACGGGCCTGGAAACTAGCTGAATCTCATGTTAACGATGTTTCTTTTTCAACTGAATGCGCTGGACCAGGCCCTCTCATGTTTCAGCCTTAACGATATTCTAGATATCGCATCAAAAACAAGAGATTCAACTGGGTTCCAGGTGAGTCTCGCAGACGAGTGCATACATCAATGTCGTGCAATTTCGGTTCAATTAAAACACAAGGTTGACGGTTGCCCAGGCGATTAGCGCCAACAAAGGCGAAACCGGTCGTGGGCTCTGGAAAGGTTATCAGCAACCTTATGAGTAGTGTTGCTTCAGAAATACACTGCAATATTTCGAATATCGTACCAACTGAAACATGAGGATGCTCTTGTGCGGTATATTTGCTTGAAGAAGACCACAAACGAGAGATCCAGCTGGGATTCAGTTGAGTCTTCCATTGAAGAGAAATTAGTTTGCAAATGAGTATAGTTCGAGCTTCCAGTAATTAGGGTTTGTTGTAGTGCGAGAATTCACATTCATGTATTTTTTGTCATTTTCTGTTCTCATATGAATATGGCAAAGCAGCACAGAAGCGACAGATTTGACACACGACAGGCAACGAAAACAAGTAAGAATTCTTACCTTCCATATATTAAGGGTTATTGATTTTTCCAAGCATACAGTGTGGTTGAAGTGACTGGTTTCATCGCATTCTGTCGTGCGTTGTTGAAAACAGCCAGAGAACATGAACAGTTTGTGTAGTGGTGTGTCAAAAGCGTAGGCTACACCCCAAATTAGGCGTCCCTCTCAAGAGTATAAACTCTCCTGAAGATGGGACAATTTAGCGTCCTCTGTGCGCGCTTCTTTATGAGAAGTGAACGAGACGAGAATCGGTCAGAACTAAATCGCCGTATTCCAAAAGGGGATGTTGGAGAACCTAAGCGAGACATATCTAATCTTGGCTCACCCAATGATATCTGCATGATCGTAACGACACTATTGAGAACCATGCCCTCGTTGTTCTTCTTCGCAACTTTATCGTGACTATTGACGAGGAATTCGAGTGCAAATAGACCAATTAGTCCGGGATAAAGGCGGTAAAGTTGATCGTTTACAAGTGAAATCTCAACCGAAGTGTTTTCCAACTCAATTGAAGAGTGCACACAACAAAGTGAGGCAGTGTTAAATGGTGGCAACATTACTCTTGTGTCAATTCAATGGGATGTTCTAACATCGCAGAAGAACTGAACGACCTTGTGTGGCGACGAGTTGGTACTTTCACAATCCATCGAGTCATACTGAAGGACCCCTATATGACGCATGCGGGACCTTTCGTAGTAGGTTGGTCAGTGCACAGCGGTTCGACGAACCAAGGTCGTCTAACCCTCCAGGCCGGGGGTACAGACGGTTTTGCTCTATGATTGTGAGACGTGGTCACTGCGAGTAGCGACACTGAAACGTAGTCGGCGTTTTGACAACCGTCGCCTGAGAATCACAGGTCGTGTAGACAGACGCCAGCGAGAGTAACGGGGGAGAGCAGAGCTTGCAAATGAAGGTGTTCACCGCCACCGCAAGTTGTGATGTCTCGATCAGCTACTGAACACGATGGATCATAATCAATCTCGCGCTTTATACAGGTCAATATGTGGCCAGGGCTTCGACCTGGGACGGGGATATGTCAATCAGTACAAAGTCCAGGTGCCTTCCAGGATGCGCTTGAGTGGTCCTCGACGTTCCTATTCGGTGTCACTGCCGTTTTTGTTGTCAGTTTCTGACCGGAATGTTTGTAATAAATGTCTGGAGATGACCTGGAATGAGCTAGTACCGAGTCCCTCCTTGTCTTCTCTTTAACAATAAAGGTTTGAAATAAGTTGTGGTCGTATGGCAATGAGGAGTCAGTGATGTCAGTGATGATAAGGCTGCCGATACATCCACCGTAGGATGAAGACCGCTCAGATTAGGGAACCGAAACACCTAAAATAGGGGTATGTACTAGAAAAAGCACAGAACGGAGTGTCGTTGGAGCGTCTGTTCTCTGAACATGACAATCAGGTGCATCATTGCAAGGACAGGCGAGAGTAAAAACAACGTCATGACAGCGCCGAGGTAACGTTACCACGCCTGAAGATAGAACATTTGCAACCAAAATGCTTGACCCCCCTCAAAGAAAAATGACTGAACCCACGCTTACGCTTCATAGGCCGACTGATTGGTACTGATCGCATTCCCATCTGTCTCCAGTTCGGCCACAACATGCGACGTTTCCATCTCGTTCCGAGCGAGTTGTTGACGCAAGACCGTGTGTTGAAGGCAAAGGAATGGAAGGCTGAAGAATTTGTGCACATATCGAAGCCCGAATCCGTTTAGCATGGAAGCTTCGCAGTACTGAACGCGAAATGCCCGTTTAGGAGATCTTAAAAACAAAAATGAGGGCGGAGTACATTGGACGATGGCTAGATATGGGTTTACAGTGTAGCAACCAGCAATAAATGGATCTGTCCACCGCTTAGGACTCAAAACGATCGATTGAGGCTTTTTATTGCTTCAATCATCCGCGCACGGATTTCAGGAAGCTGTTGCTGTTTCGATTCTTGTTTGTTACAGGTAGACCACCCACCTGCCAGTTCCTGTTCCGCATAGGCGGAACAGAAGATCCGTAAGCTACTTCAGGAGGACGAGTCTAACGCTGCTGAACATCGTACTGCCTGATGATTATTTAAACATGGATGGATAGAAGGTTCATTGTACCTAGTTTCATGATCCGCTGAACTGTATTCATATAACTCTCGTGTAAACGGTTCTCCCTCTGTCCCGTTATGATCATTCTAGTGAATTCGAAAGCAGATATAGACTAGGGTTTCGCTCCCACAGGAACTCGGGGTTCAAACTCCGATGATCGGACATGCATGCTTCTACCGCGTCGATGGCATTTGAATCATGATGCAATAACACATGAACATGCTTGTATTGTGTGCGAATTGTGGGAGAAAGGTCAGATAATCTCCCATTTGTGCCGATCAATGGTTGCCCAGGACGGGTAGCGCAAAAAACGCTCTGGATTGGCCAGACAGTTTTCAAAAATACATTGGGGTTGCATGGATCATTCATTGCCTATCTACCATACTCATCTCTGAACAATCCTTTCCGTGTCTTACTCAGTCCAGGTCAAATAGAGTTTCACCACCAAACAGGCTCATTGTAGAGTGTAGCCAAGGCCGTAGCGAGCTCCACTGAAATGAAGCACGAGTTAAGTGGGTCAACGATATCTTCGACAAAAACACTCATTTCTATTTCAATTTAGTTCTCACCGGAGACTGAATCTCCGGCTTATGATATTGTTCAACTGAATGTGCTGCACGAAGGCTACCTCAAGCTTCCGTTCGTACGATATTCAAGATGTTGCAGTATATTTTCATACAGGAAAACTACTCACACAGGATTGATGAACGGCTGTCGAAGAGTTTTTTTAAGCAACCTCCATGGGTTACCGCTACTTCCGCAGCGCACACTGGATGCACGTTAACCGTCGAACGGAGACACGCCCACATTCTTACATGACAGGTCTGCTCAAACGAATGGTGTAGGTACATCTACACAAATGCAACACAACAATGTCTTCATGGCTGTTGCGTCAACGAAAGGGAACACCACGCGCCATAATCGTGTGAAATGTATAAATAGAATCAGGGTGGTTTTTAAGATTTCACCGATACCGAAAATGAGGGCGGCTACGTGTGGGGGACTAGAAATCCAAAATCAATTGGGTGGAGGTTGTTTGTGAAAGAAGTTGCTATGTATTTACTTCGGACGAGACGTGCATATCGCAAGTTATCGACATGCGATCGATCTCCAATCGATGTTTTTGTCTTATCACACAATCCTAAATTTTCTGTGAGTGGGGAATAAGCCTGATGGAGACTAAGCCGGAGTTTTCACTAGTCTTGAAAGCAATTCGATACGTGTTCCGTCTCACATTAGCTCCAGAGAACTAGGAACGTGCATGAAGAGTCCTATATGAGGCGGCGATACATTGCAAACGAAATGGTCAGTATCCCCACTGCGTAGTTATGACAGCAAAAATTGGGTACTTTTGACATACTACAAGGCACTAGGACATCCAGGCGGTTCTGTGAGACTCTCAACCTCCCTTGAAAATGATTAGCGTCTTGAGATAGCTCAGTGGTTAGGGCACGAATTTACTGACCGGAAGGTCCGTGGTTCGATTCCAACCTATGCATCTAGATTTCTCCTGTCTAGGGTTGGGCAACCTAGCAGTATCGCTGCTCTTCCCAATTCAGTACAGTCCAGACTTGATACTCGTTCAGAGGGCTATCCGGTGAACCTGACCGTCACGATCATCTGCATTCCCACTTCTTTATCGAACCTCTCAGTCAAATATGATTTCAGCTACGAGCTACAAAGATTGGTCGACCGAGTGCTAAACCTCAATATCTTGCAGAATGTGAGAAATGGTGCCTAACAGGACATCATCCATCAATTCTTGGGGCGTTCTGCCTGAGAAAACGCTGTCAGAATGGTAATCAGTTAACGTTATAGCGTTCGATCGAATATTGCCTGTCTCTCGGAGACACAAATTCTTGGTTTTAGTCCCCAATGCTTCCGAATTTCTGTAACGAATGATAACTCGGGCTTACATTGTATGGCTTTTGCCCTTAAAACACGTGCCCATGTCACCTTGCTCTTCCCAATTCAGTACAGTCCAGACTTGATACTCGTTCAGAGGGCTATCCGGTGAACCTGACCGTCACGATCATCTGCATTCCCACTTCTTTATCGAACCTCTCAGTCAAATATGATTTCAGCTACGAGCTACAAAGATTGGTCGACCGAGTGCTAAACCTCAATATCTTGCAGAATGTGAGAAATGGTGCCTAACAGGACATCATCCATCAATTCTTGGGGCGTTCTGCCTGAGAAAACGCTGTCAGAATGGTAATCAGTTAACGTTATAGCGTTCGATCGAATCATAATACCTAACTCACGTTTCTCGTATCAGAGAGACATCTGTGCATTTGGTATTCCAATGGCAGTCGCACTGCCTCTGCTGGTCGCAGCCCTATGGGCATGAAGACTGTAGATCCAACCGTGGAGCAGACGAATCTAAAGGCGCAAGGTTCAAACTCAAACACATCGTTCGGTGCAGACGAAGACCTAAAAAAGGATCAAATTAGTCCACCTTAAAGACTAGAGAAAAACAAATCCAACTGTTGAAGATGATCGCCAGTCACTTTACTACCATTGTCTCGGGTTCACCCACCAATAACCATTCTGTCTGTGGTTGTATTCAAAGGCGTCCGAACGACGGGCTACAAAGACTGAATCATCCACCGGTCATGTGTGGCCAGCTTACGCCACCAAACCACTCAGTCCGAAAAGATCTTATGGATTACTGGTCAGAAAGGTATTTTAGCACGACAAATATCGGTGACTACTAGAAATTATCCCGGATGATCCGTGGCACCCCAACAAAACGGGGAAGTCGAGAAGCTCATGGTCAGTTAATAGCACAATATAAGAAAAAGCTGAAGAGACAGACGGAACTATTCATTACACTAGTTAATTAAGCCTTCAACTGACAAATGTTCACCACGTATATGGAAACCTACAAGCCGTAAACAATCGATCACCGGTGAGCTAGTCAGTGGAGGGAATAACATAATTCGTTCCGACACATATTTGACACAATACCTCTTTTGCTAGGACCTACACTCATCATGACAAACTGATTGGTGGTCAACGTGACTATGAGCAACAGTTTTCGACGACTGTACTGCAAGCAAGTCGGAAGGACGAGGACGGAAGAGTTCTAATATACCAGGAGTGATAGTGGTGCGGAAAGCTTGATTAGGATTAGTTGCGTGTGCGACACTCTTATGAATAGATGTCTCACGTTGGTGTCACGATTGCGGTTTAAACTACCGCTACGCACAGCTACGCACTGGTGATGTCACCTCGATTGGTGATGAAACGTTTGCAACCAAATTGCCCAGCTCAGCGAACAAGCCAACGACCAGCTTTGCAACAGTAACGGAATTTCCGCCTTTGAAGACTTGCGAATAGAGTGGTATTCATGTCATGAAGGCGGTGTGTTCCGAAGTTACAGACTATGTAGCTCAAAGGGGATCAGGTCATTTTTTCAGGTGGGTGTGCGTGGGAACCCCGTTCGATCTAGCAGGGGCTAGTCAAGCGGTCGCTCATGCACATCTGAGCGGCCAAAGCAGTTGGGTGAATAAACTCCGTCTCGACTGTGTAACAGTTGTATGGAACCGTCAGTACTACCACTGAGGGACCCGTCTTATTACGCACCACCCTCATTAAGCCACTGGCTGACTTGGAGCGCTGTTGTTGTTGTTGTTGTTGGAATAAAGAACTTTAGACAGAACCATTTAAGCCGTTCATCTGAAGCACTCAAGGGACCATTGCAGTTGCTTAAATGGACAGCCACCACAACTAGGAACGTTGCTTAAACAGACAAACTTAGCTCGAGAAAATTTAGTGGCTAAGGCACGAATTTACTGGTCGGAAGGTCACGGTTCAAACCCAACCCAGGCATCTCGACTGCTGCTGCCTACGCTTGGGCAGGCTGGCGGTATATCTCAGTCCCAGTACATCCCTCTAGTGGCGTTTGTGTGTTTCCCTCGGGTGGCATGGCAGCTAGGCACCGGAAGGGTGCTACAGCTGAGCGTTTTTTTAAAACCCGGCAAGTTTGAAGAATCAGTGCAGCAGGACAGCCTGCTCCTCAAACAAAAAAACTATAGATAGGGACACCTCGAAAGAGACCTTCTGAAAATCACGCATCGCAGAGTGCTGCCCTTAATCGCACATAAAAGCATCGAGAAAGTCTATCATAAGATTGTAGTGGTTGACACCACCTCCATACTACTTTTCCCGGCACTAACCGAAAGGTGCACGTAAAATGTATTAGAACTGGGTTTCCGATTTCTTACAGGACATTGAGAACTGACCTGGAAAACGGCGACGCTAAATCGTCTGGTAAAGTACGTCGCAGAGAATGAGTGCAAGTGAAGAAATTCTGGTGTTTTCGCCAACCGTGTTAAGATAGATCGATTTGTTTCTTTCAAGGTGTGGAGTAGTACAAATGAAAGTGTGCACGAAAATGAAACAACTATAGTTTTTTCCACCCTCATACAAAGTGTTGACTGCATATCGATCAGTTGGTGTTTCCATCTGAAATACCCTTTGGGCAACAACGTTGACTGATAGTACGAAAAAGTAGGTAACGCGAATTTCGGTATTGTCCAGGAAACTGACCTTGCATGTCACCACTTTTCCACGGACATTTTGAACTGATACATTGATCAATTCAAGTCTGAAGGTTGGGCTACCGAATTTGTAGGACATCGCGAATTAAGGAAACCCCGAATCACATTT